AACTTGTCTGAAATGGAAAGAAAGACAAGCGTGCTGTGACATTGGTGTCTACTATTCATTCCCCTGAAGGTTCCACAACAGTAGACAAACGCGAAAAAGATGGATCTATTACCACAATTCCTTGTCCTACAATTGTTACTGAATATCGAAGGTGTATGGGCTGTGTAGACAAAGCAGATATGCTCAAAAGCTACTATGCCATTGACCGAAAAAGTCGAAAATGGTGGCATCGCCTTTTTTGGCATTTTTAAGATACTTCGATTGTAATTCTTTTATAATTTACTCGCAGTTATCTCAAAGCAATCTAAAACTGAAAGCATTTAGACTTGCTATCGTTACGGGTCTTGTCGGAGCGAATTCTGCAAGAGCAAACATGGGCCGTCCAAATGAATCTTCTGCAGACGTGGGAACAAATAAATTCAAGATTTATGTGCCGAAAGAACTTCGCTGCGACCAGGACAAACATCTGCCTGTACACGGTACATCAAGAGGGTGCGCAGTATGCAGTACGGCCAAGAAACCACATAGAACACGATGGGAGTGTAATATGTGTAAAGTGGGTCTGTGTTTAAGTGACAAAAAAAAATGTTTCGTTAAATTCCACAACAAAGATTAAAACTGTTTCGATTTTAAAGTTTGAGTTATTATTTTCTGTTACGTTATTTGAATTTTGTTATTTTTAGTTTTTAATATCTATCATCACATCATGTTCAGTGGTTACCATATGAAACCATATAATAAACAAAAAAATAAAAAACTTTTACAATTTATTCTTGTATATATGTACGCCAATCGATGCCAGCATTCAGATTGTCCAAAAATTTTTAATTTTTTCACAGGTCAAATAAGTTGTGCTTCAAAGGGTTAAATGGCAACCCACTATAAAATCATTTTTCTCATAAAAGCTATACTCTAAGGATTACAACTATCTGCTTTATATTAATTTTTTTCAAAAAATTTTTTTCACATAAATTGCAATTTTGACAAAAAAATATCGCATAACTCAAAAACAAAACAAAATTTCATTCTGAAAATACGATCACATTTTTTATATTACTTTAATTTATATTAATTATTTTCTGGAGGCAAATGATTTAAAATAAAACCGCTTGGTTCCATACTTTATATTCAGCCTGTATATATTTTTAAAATTAACAAACATGAAATTTCCATAGAAAAGGAGTTACCTATAGAACCTGTTTTGCAAGGTAACCGAATAGTTGATCTAGCTTATGTCTTAAAGTGGTCCACGAAAATACAAGTGGAACATTCGAAAATCTGCACTTGCGGGCAATTATTTTTAAAGCAAGAAGTAAACCGAGCAAGCGGTTTAACAAGTGCTTTGGTATTTGGTTGTACAATGTGTCCTAGAAGCTATATTCGGTATACTGAAGATCCAGAAAAAAAAATCAACAATCAATTACGGTTTTGTATGGGGAACACTTTCCACAGGCAGTACCTATTCTCACTCTAATGAACCGTTAAGCGTAATGAACGTACAATGTACCTACAATGTGTCGGTAAATGTTTGAAAAAATAGAGCTTGAATTAGGGAGAGGTAAAAAAATAATTCATTCCTGTCTTGTGTGTTTACGTAATACTTTGTTGTAGCTCTGGAAAGATACCTTAGTTGATGAGATAGAAAAAGTTGGACTAGAAGAAAAAGAAATAGCAGTTGCTAATGGTAACATAGACGACGATGGTGTACCATTTATTACAGTACAGGCCAACAAATCTAGCTTGAGCTCTGAGATCTCGATGCGCAGTGGACAAATTCCCCTACTACCGATTTAACTCATTTCTCGACTTGGTCTCGCGGTGCTAACGTTTGTACAGTCCGAAGAAAAGTAGTTTGTTGTATTAGTGTTTGTTTTGTTTGTAATTTATTTTGGGTTAGTAAATTAGTGTAGTGTGTATTTAGTTTTAATATTAGTATATTAAGTATTTAGTTTATTATTATTTTGGGTTAGTAAATTAGTGTAGTGGGTATTTATCTTTAATGTTGGTATATTAAGTATTTAGTGTATTATTATTTAATTTATTATTTTTAATAAATTTAGTGTTTAGTATAAATATATATTTAGTTCATTTACACACTTTTGCTTGTAGTTTATTTATTATTGGAGTAGATAAATAATTAGTTATACAGATAACAAATTACTAACACTTGCATATAGTTTTTTGTTTTTTTTATTAACAGTATGCCTTTTCGTAGTAAAGTTAGAAACAAGGTTTTGCATAGCCAAAGTCGTGAGATTGTTAGTACCATAACAACTTTTATGGAACAAGAGGCCATTAACGGTGAACCAACAATTCCTCTTGCAAGGGTAAATAGTACAAAACTTTTTTATACTTAATTATTTTAATTTAGTTCACGTAATAGATAACTTAATTTGGATAATGGTCCTGGAATAAAGCATTATTTTTAATAGGTATTGGAGCGTGTTGTTGCGGCAACTGGTGTAACAATAAAGAGGATAAAGCAAGAAAAGCAAAAAATAGAAAATAATGAAGAAACAACGTTTTCTACCCCAAATAAAAACGGCCCAATCGAAAGTCTAATATTGTCTTGGACGATTTTGATCTTGCCGTTTTGAGGAGGACAATAGTAAATTTTCATGTCACAAATAAACGGGTAAGTTAGAAATCCACTTCGTGGAACATTAGGATTTGACCTGTTTAGTTTACTTACAAATATTTCTTTGAACAACCAGGTACCTACTCTGCGTCAGGTACACCAGAAATTCCGAGAAGATATCAATTATCAAGGGAGCATAGAATCTCTCAGAAAAGAGGTGCATAAAATAGGATTTCGGTGGCGAAAATTCAAAAATAATCGGACGCTTTTGGTGGAAAAACCAGAAACTCGACATTTGCGGGTGGAATTTCTACGAAGAGTGCAAAGTTTTAGACAAGAAAACCGTCCAATTTTCTACATGGATGAAACTTACATTCATTCCACCCATACAAATGAAAAAGGTTGGAGTGATAATTCAAATGAAGGGCTTTGTAAACCAATTTCCAAAGGTCCAAGACTAATAATATTGAATGCTGGAGGAGAAAGTGAATTTGTTCCTGGCTCTTATGCAAGATGGAAGTCGGATTCAAGTTCTGGTGACTATCACAAAGAAATGAATTTTGAAAATTTTGAAAAATGGGTGGAAAACCAGTTATTACCAAACCTTCCACCAAAAAGTGAACTGGTAATAGATAACGCGCCGTATCATAATAAACAAGAACTAAAAGTTCCAAATTCTACGGCGACGAAAGATATTATGAAAAGATGGTTACGTGAAAAGGGAATTTATTTCCCAGAAAACAGTTTGAAAAGTGATTTGTATAAAATCATAAAACAACATAAACCCAACTTCACAACATTTAAAATCGACAAATTATTTGCAGCCAAAGAATTTGACGTATTACGCTTACCGCCCTACCATCCGGATTTAAACCCAATAGAATTGGTTTGGGCAGAAATGAAACAATATGTTGCCAAAAATAACGTTTCTTTTAAAATAGCCGACGTTATTCAACACTGCGACACTTTTTTTTACAAATGTGTATTCCACAGAAAAATGGATAAAAATATGTGACCATGTGAAACAAATTGAGAAAGATTTTATAGCAAAAGAGCCAACAATCGATGTAGTGGTCGATGAATTAATAATAAATGTTGGAGAAGAGGACAGTGACGAATTTTCAACAAGAGGAGTCCCAGGGCGAAGAAGACGATATAAATATCGAAGGCATTGAACCATTAGAAAATCAAAAAATTGTTAGTTCAGGTTCACAAACATATTTTAGTTTATAAATTGTTTAAATTTATGAGGTTGATTAATAAATATTACTGTAAAAATTTAACTACAAATCCATTTTCTTACAAATACAAAAAATTGTGCCACTGAGTGTACTCTCGCTCATCTCTCCTTGTCCCACATAAGTTGATTTTTGGCGAGTTCGCGTTGTACTGTTTATCAAAACGGTTACACACAGTATTGATACCGCTACGTTTTTGCGGTGAAGTGGTTATTAAGGGGAGGGTGTAGTGACATCAAGCTGAGACGTCATTTCTATAACCGCTTCACACAATTCTGTAACCCTGGTCAGCCGATAGGTAAGTGATGCGGTTACACAAATAAAGTGAGGTTATTTTGTTTTGAAAGTTGAAAAGTTTGTAATTATTGTTTGTGCTTAAAAATAGAAACGTGGTTTGAAATGGACGAAAAAGAAGAGGAGCTGGTGGAAATTATGCTTAACTACCAAGGGGCCGATGTAACTGTCTTCGTCGACCTTGAAAAAGCAAATAGTCTATTAAATGGTAATTAGTCCTAACACAAGTAACATGTCAACATCAACAAATGTTTGGTTGACAAAAAAACCAACTAAACACGATAACGAAGCGACTTACTTATTTCTACAGTTGCGACAGAAATATTCTAAATATTTTGACGACAAGAAGCATCTAAAAAGTCAACTATGGGGGAAAATAGCGCAAGAAATGAAGGAACAGGGTGGTTATTGTGTGGGTGAAGGCAAAGATGCTATTGAAAAATTACGTCAGAAGTTTTCCAATCTGCAAAAGCAGTATTTGAAACATGTTACTCATGTTCAAAAAACTGGAGAGAAGAAGAGAGATCCACCTCCTTTTTTTTCTGAAATGCACGGAATTCTTGGGCACAAGGATAAAGTTGATCCCCAAAACTTACAGGATAGCCTGGTTTCACCAGATGTTGATAAAGACTTAGAAAGTACCACGGATGCTGAGAGAGGAACAAATATTGTTACCAATCGTTTTTCTGTGAAGAAGAATATTAAACCCCCATCAATCAATAGCCAAATGTTGAAGTTACTAAAAGAACAACACGAGGTAGATAAAAACGACCGAAGAGAGCAATTTGACAGATTGGAAAGAATCTTATGTCAACAAAATGAGCAGCGAGAAAGGTTATTAGATAAGTTAGATACCCTTATTACTCAAAATCAGAAAAAAAGAAAATATTCTGAAGATTCAGATTAACCCTGTAATCGTAATTGTATTGTTATACTAAAAGAAAGATTATTTTGTTAGAATTGTTTATTTATTTTTTATTGCAGACATTATATTCTGTTATTAAATAAAAATGTGGCAATATTATCTCTTTTTTCTTTCGCCAGCCTATAGGCCTCCCTATCATCTACGTATTCTTCTTCTTCATTGTCGTGATCTATTTCAATTTCCTCTTCCCACTGATCATCATTCATATAACAGTAATTATGAAGTATACAGGCTGCTGTAGTTATTTCTATTGCTTTGCTAATGGAATATGTGTTGATAAATTTCAGCCGAGCCCATCTACCTTTTAAAATTCCAAACGCATTTTCGATACACACTCTGTCAGAACTCAGGCAAAAGTTGTGATGACGTTCTTTTCTGGTTAAATTGTTTCGCCTTGAATATGGCTTCATCAACCACGGTTTTAACGGAAAGGCACTATCTCCGATTAATGCATATTCATCGCGAGGAAAGTACTTCTGTTTCCCATACTGTTCTATATGACGTACTAATGATGAATTTGAAAACACCTTAAAGTAGAAAATTCATATTTAAAATTTAAAACACACATATACCATACCCTCGAATCATGCGCTGAACCTGGGTATCCCACAAAAACGTAAGTAAACAATTTTTGTGACGTACATATCGCCATACAATTAATGGAATGATTCTGGTATCGATTTACGTAGCTGTCGTGTTGGTGGCTAGGTACCTTAACATTAATATGAGTACCATCAACAGCCCCTATCACATCTACAAACCAAAAATATATGTTTTAAATGTTTACAGTATGGTAAGTAAGTAATTTTACTTACTTGGATAATTAGAAAATTCATCACAAATATGTTGGTATTCTTCGTTTGTCTTGGGCCAAAATATATATTTCGATTTTAATTTTAGAATTGTGTATAGAAAAGCATTCACTATGGACATTACTGTCGAGGGGACTAAATTGAAACGATCAGCAATTGATAACAAAGTATCTTGCTTTGAAATGTACCATAAAAAAACTAATAATCCTTTCTCTGGCTGAACAACACAGTTTCCTCCTCTGTATTTCTTGTGTATTAACCTAATTACGTCGACTTCAATAAGAGTTGCGAGCAATTTATAAAATGTACTTTTCTGCATTCTGAATAATCTGAAGAAATCAATGTCGTCGTAAGTATTCAGCCACGTTTGATAATTTATTTTCTGTCTAACGTGGCATTCTCTCAATCTTAGAAATGATTTTCTTCTTTTATATAATTTGTTCCAAAATTCCATAATAAAGAGATCCACTTCATTTGAAAAGAACCACACATCAATTAATGTGAATAGCTCCACATTTAAAAAAGGGTGCACTAATGCCATAACACTATGAATATTGATTATTGAATCACTAGGGGGTCCGGTGTCTTTATATTATCACAACGATATCAGATATAAGTAATACTATTTATGATAACATGCCAGTTAATTGCTGAGGTTATGTATTTCCTTCAAGGGGCGGGTCAAAAAATTAATAAGTAATAATAACCGGCACGATTTTCGCGAAAATCAGTTACCGCCAACTGTGTGGGGATAGAAACAGTAACCAGACATAACAGTGACGTCATCATCACCTATAACCCGGTTACTCGCTAAAAATCAACTATCGCTTCCTCGTCTGCGCATCTCGCGGCTCAAGCTAGGTTTGTATATTTAGATGCTGGATACAGTAAACGATCGTATGGTCATAGTTTGACTGCAAATTCTGGCGTAGTAACAAATAATAATAAAATTGTGCATATTTATTTTAAAACTATAAGAATAATTAATTGTAGGCAGTAATAATAGGAATGAAAACGGAAAAAGTTCTTTTCCTAGGTATTAGAAATAAATATTGTTGCATATGTGCTAGAGCTGCAAATAAAAGGTAAACACCATCGCCACACCATTGTTTTCGAAATTGGAGTGGCAGTTCTCCGGCGATGAAAGCCGATATGATTGTGGAAGAGTGGAAGGTTTCACTAAATCGGTCGAAATCAGTGGCGTAGTGAGGGTGGTTCCGCGGGTTCCGCGGAACCAGGCCCGGGGCTGTGAAGGGCCCGGTCAAAATTCTTACTTATTAATTTTATTGTAAAAATAAAATAAAAAAGTTTTATTGTTAAAAACAAAATTGGCCTACTATGTATTTAAAATTCATGGAAAACACTGAAGCGATTTACGATGTTTATTTTAAATACAAAACAAAACCGCTACTCACAATAACTACGAGTTGGTTACAAGAAATGGCTCTTGTTTTCTAAACACTAGCGCGTTTGGGTTTAGAATTACTTTTTCTCCTGGAGACATTTCTAAGAAAAGTATAAAAAATAAAAATATTTGTCTAACACTTTATTGCTTCTTTTGCGTATTTTCGTTATTCTCTTCTTCAGTCGTTATGCAGAGCTCAGATTAAAACCAGCTTGACACCGAGCAGTGTTCAATTTTTGTGTATTTAATCCATTGTAAAAACAATTTGAAAATGTCTTATAAACACAAATCGGGTAGTGCAAAACGAAAAGAAAAGGCGGCATCCGAAGAGAAAAAGAAAAAAATGCCAAAGATCCATCATTTTTTTCTTAAAGAAAAGAAAGACGAAATCAGTATCAATGAACCACAACCATCAACATCAAAGTCGGAAAGTGAGGGTAGCGGTTCTGTTGTATCAACTTCAGTTATTGAATATGACCTCCGTAAGTTTATTTTTTTTGCTATTTATTTATTAAAACTGGGGCTAATAATTTTTAATTTTAAAATAGCTTTAAAAGTCGATGAGTTGGACACAAATTCTTCAAATTTAAATTTTTTTAAGTTATCATTAAATTTGGTATTTAAATTTTGATTCGAATTTTACTAGGTCCTGAAAAAGATGACATTAATATTGTCAATGTTACTGATAGGGGTCATTTTCAAGCAGTGTTGACTGATTCTGAAAAACGTTTTATAATATCCAATGGACCTTGCAGACCTCCTGGTCCTTTCCCAAAAGATGGAAGCAATAGAAGTTTTTCCGATTTTTATTACACAAAAACTTCAGTAACGGGATTTAAAAGTACCCGAACGTGGTTATGTTACTCTAAAATCCTTAACAAATGTTACTGTCAACCATGTTGGCTATTTTCTAAACAACAAAATAAACTCAGTTTAGGGTTTGATGACTGGATACATTTAAATCGAACAATTAAAAAACATGAAGAAAAGTTAGAGCATAGTCAATGTTGTGCAATATATGACAAATGGCGTTTAAATAAAACTATCGATTATATAAATGAAGAAGTAATTTGCCAAGAGATCTCATTTTGGAGGAAGGTTTTAAAGCGTATTATTGACGTTGCTCTTTTATTGGCTTCATGCAATATGCCGTTTCGAGGACATGATGAAAAAATTGAGTCTACAAATCCAGGAATGTTTTTGGCGACTATAAAATTATTATCTAAATATGATCCTGTGTTAAAACATCTTCTAGAAACTAAAACGAAAAAATCAGTTACATACCTTAGTCCCCAAATTCAGAACGAAGTAATACAATTATTATCAAATGCAGTTAAAAAAAACATACTTGAGAGAATTAATGCAAGTCCATTTTATTCAATTATAATTGACACCACTCAGGATATTTCAAGAATAGATCAAATGAGTTTAATATATAATATTAATATTAATATTTAATATTAAATATTAAATATTTAATAATATTTAATATTAATATAATAATTATTCGTTTCGTAGAACTCGTTTATTCTCATAATATTTTGACAAATATAAAAGTGAATGAGTACTTTTTAGGATTCGTACCAGTAGAAAATCAAAGTGCAGGTACATTAAGTGATAAAATAATTTCCACCATTAATAATTTAAATCTTCCGTTAAATAAATTGCGAGCCCAAGGATATGACGGAGCCGCCAATATGAGCGGTGTATACAATGGGGTCCAAGCAAAAATTTCGGAAAAAATTGGTTACACGCCATACATTCACTGCGCTGCACATAATTTAAACTTAATTTTAAATGATTCCGTAAAAGGAGTAGAACAAATTCGAAATTTTTTTGACTTTGTTGAAAAAGTATACGTTTTTTTTGGTCATAGCATCATACGCTGGCATTATTTATATCCAGAGAAAAATATCAAAGACATTAAATTGAAAAAATTGGTACCTACAAGGTGGTCTTCTAGGCATGACGCATTAAGTGCTTTACGGTATAAATATGTAGATATTTTAAAAGTTTTAACCAAAATAATCTTAATTTCTAAGTCAAAAAATGAAATCGATGATGCAAAAGCAATTAAAAAAACTTTGGAAAATTATGAAACCATTTTTTTAATTATCTTGAAAACAAAGATTTTACAGTGTACCGACGTCGTATCAAAATTACTTCAAAATAAACAACAAAATATTGGAGAAGCTTTTAAACTATTCACCAATGCATCCAGTGAGGTTAAGCAACTTCGTAATAAGTTTTTAGAAATGAAAAATGAGGCAACTAATTTAGCTCAAAAATGGGGGGTTGCTACAACGTTTCAAGCGAAACGAACTTCTCGTCCAAAATTTTTTTTCGACGAAGTTAAAAATCACTACCAAGTTGAAACACGCGAAGATCATTTTAAAATAAATGTTTTTAATAAAACTATTGATATAATAATCTCACAATTAGAGACCAGATTGACTGGCTTTCATTATGTTCATAACACATTTGAAATTTTAAACACCAAAGTGTTACTGAATACTAATGACGAGGAATTATTTGAATTAGGCAAAAAGTTGCATTTGTTATATCCAAATGACATTTCTGATTCTTTGTCAATTCAGCTCTTAAATTTCCGTAATTGCTTTCGTAATGAACTCACAAACATTAATTCTGTTGCTGATTTACTTACCTTTATTTTATTAGACAATTGTTCATCCAGCAGTAGTTTCTCAGAAATTATTACAGCTTGTCTGCTATTCCTAACAATTCCTGTAACAGTCGCTACTGCTGAGCGATCGTTTTCCAAATTAAAACTCATTAAAAATTTCTTGAGGAATACCATGAGCCAACAGAGATTGTCTGACTTGGCTATCATTTCTATAGAAAATAAAACTGCGCAAGATTTAGATCTATCCAGTCTTATAAACACTTTTGCCAATGCTAAAGCGAGAAAAAAAATGTAGTATTATAATTCAGTTATATTTTCTGTTCTGTATAATAAAGTTATTACTTTCTGTTCTGTAGTACCTATTATATATAATAAAGTTATTATTTTCTGTTCTTGGTTAATTAATAATATTAGTTTATATACATATGCATTTTATTTCTGCATATAATCCTAAAGGATAAGAAGGGGCCCCCGGCTATGTTTGAACCCAGGCCCGTAAATGTCTCACTACGCCACTGGTCGAAATGCATGGCCTTCGTTATAAAAAATTTGTGGCCGACGGAGAAGCTAGCGTTTTTGCCAGCATTCGACAAAAAGTGCCCTATGGCATAACTGTGTCAAATATTGAATGCAAAAATCAGGCAATAAAAAATTATGGAAAGGCATTACGAAAAATAAAAAACGACACTAGTATAAAAATAGAAGCACAAAAAATGCTAACCGAAAAAAAAAATATTGAGTTAGAAAAACATGCGTCACAAGCCAAAACAACTAACACTGATGGAGATGTTGAAAAATTAAAACAAGACATAGAACAAGCGCCCTATTATGTGTTTGATGACCACACTAAGTGTAATTCACATGAAAATCGAGAATTAAAAAATACAGGTCTTATTTTTCATGTGAATGGTAGGTTACGTAATATTAAAATATTTAATTTATTTCATATGATTATATATTGTAGGTGCTTTGAACGGTTTATTGCGAAAAGCCCATCAGTTAATTGAAAATAAAACCAACAATAAGGCCGAAAATTTTATGAGTCTTCAAGTAAGACAAACCAGTGGAAAACGCTTGAACCTTATTCAAAGAGGCTCCTTCCAAATGAGCAGCAATCTAACAGCCTTGCGTTACAATAATGGACCAGGATGGCATTCTACGCCATGGACTTATTTAACGGGAAGCTGTCCAGGAAAAATTTTTAATTTTTTTTTAGATAGAGAAGTCCATGCTCAAAATATACGTCACGAACGTGAAGTAAGAACAAATTTGAACAAGGACTTATCTTCTAAAACACCAAAAAAGACATTGCCTAAAATACTACGGTCCAAATACTCAGGAAGCAGAGCCAACGGAAGAGGAAATGTCTTCTGAGAGTAAAAAAAAATTAAGAAGTATGGATGTAAGTAAAGCATAATTATTATTATCAGGTAGCAATCAACATTGCCGTTAAAAAATATTGCTACTTTGTGGTCTATACTGGCGACAAAAATCCATT